TGGTGCCTGGTGTTTTGAGTGCTACCTGGAAGTTAAACTTCTGACATTCTATACCTAGATGCCTTCTCTTCCCTCTCATCTGTAAATACAGATGAGGGGAAGGAAGTTCATTCTTCCTCAAATTTAGGGAAGGGAACAAGTTTCAAGGGCAGACAGAACCTCAAGTTGAACCTGTGTATCTCTACAGTCTGGCACTTGGTGCTTGGGGGAAATTGCAGGTGGTATTTTGTCCTTAAATTGGGCCCTGTGAAGGGTTGAGGCCAGTGCTTTATAGGACATCTTGGTCCTATAAAGATGCATGAAGAAATCTTAGTCTCCTTCTTGCCTCTATCACATCTTGTCAAACTCACTCCAAATTGAGGAACTTTACCTAGCTCCGGCTACTCCAGGCTCCTTTTGAAGCATTTTCTTATCTGTCACCATGTTCGTGGTCAAGGCTGGTCTTGGGGTACTATGAATAGATATGTGCGTGACTCTTTGACCCCCACATTCATGTGTGTCCTAAGCTTATACTCTTGTGCAACCTAAGGCAGTGCTTCCCAGCTCACTGGTCCTGTCATCAGACAAGCCTCCAGTTCTGGGTCTGCCTCTCACCAGCCTGTATTATGATTTATCGAGTAATTCCACACACCTACCCCCACTTTCTTATAGTTTACCTCTTGGGTTCCCAAATGTTTGACATAGTTACTAATCTGCTAATGGGGAAGTAGCTACTAGCTAGGTCATCTTGCCTTCTTCTCATTGGGCCTATTAGTACATCATAAGATGTATTAAAACCTCACTTATTAGCATGTGGAAAGGTGTATAATTAAGTGCCATTTGTCACCAAGTCCAGCTCAATAAATATTTTAGAGCTGTGGCTGTAGAAGAAATTCAGGACCCCAAATCTCAATTTGTGACAATTAGATCAGAAAGCGTTATGAGACACAACTTTAAAAAGTTATATTATTCACAGGTCCTAGTTTTAAAACCAAACAGAACACTACTTCCAAATGTCAATCTAATTTTAGTTCATTTGGAAGGGGGGTTTGTTCTTACTGAGTTTCAGAATCTGTTGTAAATAAAGCATTATTTTTGTGAAATGACGATATTCTTTCACAAATATGCCTATCAGAGATCCTGCACTTATCTTCAAAAATCAGGCCTGGGGCCAGGGATTTAGCTCAGCGGTTCAGTGGCCTGCCTTGCAAGCGCAAGGACCCGAGTTCAATCCCCGGTACCAAAAAAAATCAAGCCTGAACAGGGCCCCTTTCCACAGGCCAAGAACCAGCCTGGGCATCTTTAGCAAGAACAAAATCCCAGCTTCTGCCAGAGTATGGAGATTCTTCCATCAAGCAGGTTAATCCAACCCTGTTCTTATAGTTTTCTTCATTTTAGAGGGGAAGTTGAGTTTTTCTACTGTTTAAATGAACTATATTTTCTGAAAGAGAAAGAGGAAGTAGAGATAGATAAAGAAATATGAGACTACAAATCACTAATTGTGCTTTGAAGACACTAATTTGGTATCTGTCCCATGTGATTTTGGAGTATCTACATATGAGCCGTGATCAGCACTCTCAAGTCCATCAAGACTGGAGTCAACCCCCATTTTTGAAGTCCTGTGGTGCATACAAAAGCAAGATTATATAGATGATAGTATATACTCATGATCTTGGCATATGTGTAATGACTACCACGTAACACAGAGAGTAACTTGTGGTAGCAGGTGTGGCTGAGGGAATTTCTCTCTGCTCCTTTGGAAGGATGGAGTGTTTCTTGAAATAAACTGGAATAGACATATCATTGGGAGAAAAAACATATAAATTTATTTATACACATGAAGCTTCAGAGGAAGTCAAGTATCCAGTGATGTCTAGAAGCTTAGAAGCTTATATACCATGTATTAGTCAGTGTTTCCAACACTGGGACAAAATATCCAACAGCCACAGTTTAGAAAAAGAGAGGTTTAATTTGGCTCATGGTTTTCCTGTTTCAGTCCATGGTTGGCTGGCTCAAGACAAAAACAGAATGGTGGAAGTGTACTATGGAAGAAAGCTGCTCGCCTCATGGCAGCCAGGAAGCAGAGAAGGAAGAAGCCAGGGAAAACAATGTATCATTTCAAATCATACCCTCAGTGACCTGCCTCCAACCAAGCCCTACCTCCTACAGCACATTTAGCCATAAACTTGTCAATTAAATGACCCACTGATCACTATAGCACACCCATGATCCAGTCATCTCCCAGAAGTCCTGCTTATGAATGTGTGAGGTTTTTGGGGAGATACTCTAGATCTAAATAAACCGTAACATTCATCCCCTGGCCCCCAAAAGGTTCACATCTAGCTTATTATACAAAATGAATTTAATCCATCTCTAATAGTTATCCAAGTCTTAACATTTCCAGAATTGCCGAAAAGTCCAAGTTCAAAGCCGCCTCTGAGATTTAAGGCAAGCTGTTGGCTAGAGGCTGCAGGAATGGCTTCATGGCATCCAGGAAGCAGAGAAAGAAGGGAGAGCCAGGGACAAGACTATATCCTTCAGGGCATCCCCCAGTGACCCAACAACGAGGCCCCACTTCCTAACAGCAACTTCAGCTATAAACTCATCCATAGATTAATCCACCGATGAGTAAAACCCTTCCCATGATCCCAGCACCTCCCAAAAGCCCCGTCTCTGAACACATGAGATCCTCAGATGACGTTCTAAGTCTAAGCCATAACATGCAGGCAATGTTAGAGCAAGAGCAAAAGACTTTTAGAGGAGAGAATGAGCTGAAAGGGACAGTTTCTCTAGGCTCTGAGGATGGTATTTGATCTTCAGTCTCTTCCTCTATGATTTTGTTTGTTTGTTTGTTTGTTTGTTTGTTTGTTTTTGCTGTACTAAGGATCAAACCCAGAACCTTGTGCATCCTCTGATATGAATTTAATCATCCTTGGTTAATGAAATTTCAGTAAGAAGACTGAGTGCAGCTGTGTGCTTCATTGGTGGATCTGGTCTTTAGGTGGATAGGGAACCACGTCCAGTACCTGCCGATCCCAAGGAATAGGTTTAAAATGGTCAGCATATCAAAGCATCACATTTTAGGGTAACTTTCCTTGGCTTCCTCTCTGCAGCCAGAGAGAACATTCCAAATTTAATTTCAATGCCTGAGCCAATTGCATTTCTTTTTCTCAACTCTGCAATAGATTCCCTAGGAGATATTGTCTTAGAACCCTTATTTTTCATTAGCAACATAATATTACATCTCTCTGTCCATATATAATTGTATGTCTTTTTCATGCTGCACAGAGTGCAGTGTGTATAGGTACTACCGTATTTAATTAGTCTTCTTCTTGGATATTTATTTCTAATTTCTTTGCCAATGTAGAACAATCCTGAATACTCTTGATTTGCTTCTTCACTTGTTTTCTTCCTTTCTTAGGATGAATTCTAACATTTATAACTGATGTGGCAAAATGTACTCACATTTTTAAGGTTTTAAGTTTGTCTTTCCAAAGCTAGTAATCTTATTTTTAGGAGCGGAAAGCAGGCCTTCCCATGCCAGTGTCAGAATTGGGCTCTTTTACCCCAGACCTCATTGTCAGTTTAATTGTCATAAATGCCAAGAACCCCAATCAAGGCTGTGTGACAGAGCTTGGAGGCAAAGAACTGTGGTTAGACATGGCCATACAGGCTGGGGTGGGTCATGACTTAGGACTGTGGATTTAGGAGGCTGTGTGAGACCCTGCCAGGCAGACAGAGCATCCAGGGCCACAGGATATATAGTATGGGCTGGAGCAAAAGATGGAAATCAAAGAATAAGTTAATGCTTGCACCCCAGGCGGAGGCCAGAGTGAATCCAGTCCTCACTCAGCATATAGGGAATCTCCCTGGGGGTTCCCCCTCATTCTCAGCCCCTCCAAGTCACTACCAGGGTCCCTGGAGTTTATCGTGTCTCTACCCCTCTGTTCCTCTTTCTTCTGTAAGGTTTACCTCACTGTGTAGCAGTTGAAGCAGAACAAATCTATTTCAGTAGGATAAATGGTTGTGGACTCCAGAAAAGCAAACCAGAAAGCATGAAGGGACCAGTTGCACTTCACTCTGGTCACTTTTCCAGGTAGCCACGCCTCAAATCCCCAGGTGGCTGTTGTCAGCCAGCTCCATGTTGCCAGATTTTGCTCACTCATAACCAACATGGAAGGAACCTGCACTCCACTTTCTTCCCTCTGCTTTTGTCCAAAGTTTCTCACTAACATTTAATTCGGCCCTGTAGCTCTGTCCCTCAAAACCCTCTCTCACATTACCATCTGTCACAGCCTGTCAGGAGCAAGGAAGTCCCATGAAAAGCTGTGCTCCTCCTCCTTGTCCTCAGTCCCTCCCCCTTCAACCGTTCCCTTTCTATCCCTCCCAGACTGTTGAAATCCTTTTTATGTTTCCAGCACATCCCACATTCTGCCTTCAAGAATTTTTCTCAGAAACCCAATAGCACAGCTTCTCAGTATATACCATGCTCTGGTATGTCATGCAGGTCACATCGCAAGGTTTTAACTTGGATGAAGCCAAGGATTCCTACCTGGAATCTTCCTCTTCTGGGTGGGGAGCATCATTAGCCTGGTACCAAGCAGCAGAGATTTTAATGCCAGTTCTTGAATGAATGAGCTGTGAAGGAAATTGAGCAGATGGACAAATGAATAAAACAAGCCAGCAAAACCAAGTCTATTCCATAGGGGTTTTGCAGCTCCAGCATTTCTTCCTAGGAGGGATTTAGGATAGCATTCTGATGGGAAAGGAGCTGAAGCACTTTATAAAACAGAAACAACACAGGTCAAAGTAAAAGAATGGAGCTGAGAGCCATTGGAGATCCAGAGTACAGACAACCTCTCTGCCCCACTTAATGATCTCCCCATGTGTACATTTTTTCTTTCACTGAATTTAATGCTTTCTATTGCTTTTATGTTGCAGTGTCTTACACTGATTAAATTACATCTCACTGTTTTTGAAAGAAAATGTTTTACTATATCTGTGATTTCTGTTTATTTCAGGCAACTATGGTCCTGAGCTCTGCACACTTCTGGTTGGGATTATTTCTGGTTCCTACTGCTTGTTTGATGGAAGATGTAGCGTGGAGAGCGTAAGTGGAAAATCAGTTGTAGCCCTAAGTCTTGCTCATCTTTCCTTGCGACTGTATCACATGAACCCTGTCACGGGACAGTAAGGGAAATGGGGAGTTTGAAGAAACAGGGTCTCCTACCACCTGCCAGAGGAAGTTTTGTGATGTGATTTTTTTAAAACTTTTTTCTGATACAAAATTCTTATAGACAGAACGTTCTAAGTTTGTGAAGGTGAAAGGGGGGATTCTCTTACATATGACTGCGAAGAAGTTTTTAAATACAAAGTCATTCCTTCAAGCTTGGGAAGTATGACTCAAAATTTATTTTTAACTTTTTTTATTTAATAACTGTATGGCCCAGCTTTAAATTGTAGGCTTACAGGAAAATCATGTACCTGTAAGTCATCTCAAATGACGACAATGAAAACATCTTCATTTTTCTAAAGAATTCATGGAAGTACTCTTTCCAATAAAATTCTTCCACAGGGTTAATTTACAGATTCACCAGAAAGTCAAATCACAAAGATGAAATTATAATGTAAGTTAAGAAAATAATTCATATTCAGTTTTTCTTTCTGTTCTAAAATATATCATTTATAAAATGTCTGCTTGCGACGTGAAAAAAAGAAATAACTAAGTCCCAAGATAATGTAACTTTTAATTTCACCCAGGAGCAAATGAGAGATTTCTCCAAATAAGATAATCTTGATTTTGGTTTAAATGGGCCCAACGCCTCCTACAAATAGTTTCCAACTTCCCTGAGCACTGAGAGTCCTATCTTGGCTTGGGCAAAGCATAATTATTTTAAGGCCCTAAGGTAGAGAATTGAGACTTTAATCTAAACCTTGCAGGAAGACATCAAATTTCGTTTTTATCTCCCCATTCCTGCCACACTCCGTGAAAATTGTTCTTGGTTGACAGTTAAGGACGTCTTTTGAAAAAAGTCTTCATTTCAGCATTGTCTTGACAACCAACCATACTTAATACAGAGAGAAATGGGGGCAGAATTTTATAGCATATATTTTGTTTTTGCTTTTCTCTGCTGCTCACTTAATTTTCAGTTGTTAATAAAAAATAATTAAAATTTCCTAAATGCTTCCATTTTATTTGCTGAGACTTGTGTTCTGTAAATAGCAGAATCAGAATCCTTGAAAATGAAACATAAATTGTGGTCAAGAAAGAATTTTATTAATCTAATAACTGCACTGTAAGAAAATGTGAGTTCTGTCTCTTGCTTCTTGAGCCAGTAGCATAATACATTTATTCTCTATCTGAATTTGTTGAAGTTTGCAAATATTAGTTACTTTTAGACAAATACAACATGGCCTTGGCTATATCAGATGGCTTTTCTATATTTAGTCATTGAGAAGTCCTAACATGCTTATAATTTAAACTGTCTTAATTCAGCTATCTTAAATTAATGTCATGAAAATATCTTTTATTGAGACTACTTTTGCCAAGTGAGACTTGAACAAAATTATTCTTTCTTCCCGGGGAGTGTAGATTATGCAGTCTGTGTCTCCTGGCCTGTTTCTGGATGCTTTCCAATGTGTTCCAAGTACAAGCTCCCTGTCAATGAAGCAAATTATCTGTTTCCTCTAGCAAGACTTGATTTTGGTCCTGTTGTAGGACTCACACTGTAAAATTATCACCATTTACATTTTAACAAGAATAAATCAGATGCCACTGCTTCCAGCTCCACCATATGGAAAGAGTAAAGAGTCAGTTCCTTTCCAAGGAGCTTGCCAGCTGGGCTGGAGCAGAAAGCACGGCTGTGCATAGGAGATGTGGGAGCAAGGAAAAGGAAAGACTAGCCCTGTGTGCCGTGCTTTGAAGCAGTTGCATGCTATGCAGGCTCAAACACAGCTTCTCCTAGAAGTGTTGAGATCTCTAGCTCTCCACTGAGCCGGAGTGGCCTCTGCTGACATCCAGAAGCGCTTCCTGAAATGTGTTTTTGTCTTGTTTTATTAAAGGACCAAGAAAGATATTCTCTGTCATCTGGAATATTTGCCCAAAGTAGATGACAAGTTTGCAATATCTAATATCTATAGTCATCTCTCTCCACAAAATCAAGAATCTTGTGAATTTATTTGGGCCTGCCCCCCTGATCTGGGGGCCCATATTCTATCTAGAATTATGCTTTCAATAAAATTCTTATAGAGAGTTAGTTTATAAGTCTATAAGAAAATCAGCCATAGAGAAGAAATTAAAATGCAGATTAAATAGAAAGGAATTCATCTTTAATTTACTTCTATGCTTCAAAATATATCATTTTAGCCCAGGGATGTAGCACGGTGGTAGAGCACCTACCTACCACCACCTATGTCCTACACCCACTACTAAAATAAAATATATCATATTCAGCTGCATGCAGTGGCCTGTGAGTCTGTAACCCAGCTATGCAAGTGGCTGCAGGAGGACTGAGTTTGAGGACAGACTGGACAACATTACAAGACCCCATTCCAAAATATGTATATTTATAAATATATATATATATGTATAATAAATACAATTTCCATCTTATGTATGACATAAAAGAAGCAGCTAAATCCCAAAATAATGTAAACTCTAATTTCATCCATAAGCAAAAGAGATAGAAAGAGATTTCTCCAAATAAATAGGAAAATCCTGAAATATGTGTTGAAGCAAGTAGATTTGCAAATATTTTCTAAAGGGATAAAGCGCGTAATAAACTGATCAGCTTTGTTAAGGCCACGGTGATTAGCTGTGTTTTCTGAACTGTAGCTTTTGAAAATATGTGTTTTGTTTTGTTTTGTTTTTACTGCACACTGAATAATCAGTTGGTTTCAGTTGTCTGATATCTATAGAGGAATGATCCACTGTGATGTACCTTGAAATTATGAGAAGAGGTTTAGATTAATGAGTAGGAATTAAGAAGCAGTTGGAGAATACCCCTTTTTTTTTGGATGGGGGGGTAGGTGCTCATGATCGAACCCAGGACCCAGAGAACTTGTATGTGCTGTAATTGCTTGCATATACAGCCCAGGAGAATTCATGTAACTGACTGGAGCCCGTGGCAGTGATGTTGCTACAATATTTCAGTCTTGCCTTGTGTCAGTTATAGGGATGTTTTTTATCTCGAATTTTGGTGCTTGTGCTGTTTCTTTTCTTTTCCTTCACATTTTTTTTTCTTGAGACAGGATCTCCCTACTTTGCCTAGGCTGGCCTCAAATTTCTGGGCTCAAGCCATCCTTCTGTCTCAGCCTCTCAAGTAGCTGGGACTACAGGTGCAAACCACCAGACCTGGCTGGTCATGCTGTCTTTTAAAAGGATTTTTTAATTCCAGCACAGGCTGTGCCTGCCTTGTCAGACTTCTGTGAGTGCCTTATAAGTTAGTTGCTCCACCTTGAATTTTCCTCTTTTTCCCAGTCTCTCACTTCCAATTTAGAACCTGGACTGTTAAGAGTAAGAAAAAAAAAAAAACAGAATGAGGTAATTCAGTCACTTTTTCCATGAAGTTTGTCAAGTTTGCGGATGAAGATTCATAAATTAGACTACCTTGAGTCAGATTTGGAATGCTGTAAAATGCCTGCCCTATTACCCTGTTCACCAGAATTTTTGTGAGGGCCCAAACTAGCCTATATTTTATTAAAATAATTGATTGATTATATGTGATACCTAGCTAATGTAGTGTTATTAGAAGTATGAAGTATAAATTACCCAGAAACTACTTTAATATCCTTTAGCTTACACTCTTCCAAAATGTTTACCTGTGACAGAGGCTTAGGTAAGCTGTCACATACAAATTTTCATCTAGGAGAAATTCCTTAGTGCTGTTGTATAAAAATAATACAGAGCTCAAGGTCGTGGAGCCCAGAGTAACCAGGTTCCTACTATCAAACTGCATCTCTTGCCTGTTACCAGGCATCACACAATATGTTCCCCAATTCCAGAATGACTTCATTTCCTTGTTATAATCCCCGACAGGCAACTAAATGGCAATAAAAGGTAATAAGCAATTTCCACATACAAATGAGCCTTGGTTGCTTCATTAACATTCTAACTAAACTAATTTCTCTTGAAGCACATTATTTCCATTTTTGTCCACCGCTTACATACAAAAAGGAGACCAGAAAAAAAATGTTAGAAACAAAAAGATTAAAAGGTCAAGATCCTAAATGAAGCTGTTTCCTTTAGAAGTCCCTAAGAGCCTGGAGATACCCTTCAGTATATCAGAAAGCTCACAGTCGGCATCTTTGTCAGTAGCCAGACGCCCCCGCTCTGTCTCTTCTCTGTGACCTGGTGTCCTGAGCGGTGTGAAATGAAGCCAGCCCTGGCCCACTGCAGCTGAGCCACTTCCAGATAATCAAACTTACTCAGTCAAAGGTGTGACCCACGCCTCAGCTTCATGGCCAGACTACATTACCCGCCAGGGCCTAATGCTTAAAAGGCTGACTTGTTAATAGCCATAAATACAAGCTATAAATGCAAAGCTGTAGCCCTTTCACATGTAGGCTTTCAGGGACGTTTTAGGCCCCTTTTTCTAATTTAGGCCTTAGTAGGTAAAGGTGCCTGAGAAAATGGGTTCCATTGGTAACATCCCTTCTACGCAAGTGCTGCACCCAGAAAGAACAACTGAATTGTTGTCAGCATAGCAATCCAGTGTCCTCAGGCTAGCTCACAGGAGCTAACCTAGTAGAAAGTCTGTCAACTTACCTGGTAAATCTGATTCTGGATGGAGTTTCACCCACTGAGATGCCAGGAACATGGAAATATTCAGGCCACTGCCCTCTTAGGCCACCTAATAAATAGATAAAAACTGACAGCACCAGTCCACTGAGTGTGATGGTCTCTTTTACTTCGCCTAAGTTACAGATTTCCAGTCCCCAGAGCCCAGTGGCCTTCCGGTGACTGCTTCTTAGTGACTCCCTTACGTCCTGCTCTGCACGTTAACAGTGGGAGAGGATCTAGAAGTAACCACCTGTACAAGACATGATGGTATGAGGGTGGTCCTGGAAGAGCGAGAGAGCTTATCTCAGTCACTTTTGTCATTGCTGGGGCAAAACTCCTGACACCCACATCTTAAAGGAGCAGAGGTTTATTTTAGCTCATAGTTTTTTAGTCCATGGTCGACTAGCTTCAAGGCAGAAACAGTATCGCAGAGGGGCCTGGCAGAGGCAAAGGCACTCGCACCATGGTAGCCAGGAAGCAGAGAGACAAGGGAAGAGTTGGGAGCAAGCGAGGAGCAGAGTGAGAATACACCCTGCCAGGTCATGTCTCTAATGACCCACCTGCTTTGGACCAAACGTGAGAGTCCTGGGGTATAGCTGAGATCTAAGCCTTTACAATATCCATCCTTCAAAACCAGCCCCCCACTCTCCCGGTACCTGTGTATGTGGGGTACTTCTGAGTGGGTGGGGCATGCCATCAGTTAATTTATTACTAGTAGAGCCCCCTAAGCCCATGAGATAAAAGGTAAAGCTTATGCCTAGAATATTCAGTAATACTGAACAGTATACATTGCAAGATCCTTTTTTACTATCTCCACCAAAGCACTGGCCTTTCTCGTTTATTGTTTAAATTAAAATTCCAGTCACTGCTTTGAACTGTGGCATTTTATCAATCCTGAGTTTCAGGACACCGTTTGAAGTAATTAAGGTATTAGGTGTTAAAACCTGTAAAGCTTTCTCTTGTTTACTTTATGGGCAAGGATGACAGACACATATACACTGCCTCTGTGCTGATAACCCATTCCAGATTAACATGGAGTGTTGGATGACTCGGCCTTATCTTAACAGGCTTTCTGTCTTTGAAGCTGGAGGACTGGAAGAGAACACAACTCTGTGGAAACCATCTTCACCCTCAGCATGTCCCGGGGACATGGCTTTAACTTTTGTGAAGATGTGCTCAGCAGTTGCTGAGTCTTTAAACCCTGGTACCTGCTGGGCTCCTCACATGTATTTCTGGGTTTTGTATTGGTTCTTTTTTTTTTTTGTACCGGGGATCAAACTCAGGACCTTGCCTTTGCGAGGCACATGCGCTGCCACTGAGCTAAATCCTCGGCCCCTTTACATGTATTTCTAATGAATGAAACTGATGAAAAGCTTTTCATAATAAGGAAAACTGCCAGTCTTGCTAATATATTAGCCTCCTAATATTTTAGTGTTTGTTTCCCCTTATCTAACCTATACTTTATTAAATGCCTTTTCTTCACCTGTATTCTCTCCATCCAGTAGTTCGGTGTTGGCTTTATTTAGTCTCAATTGTTTTTTTTAACTGTTTCATACACAGACAAGATTTATTTAATGAGGAAATAGAAGACGGCACTCTGAGTGTATCAAAAGCCCCATTCATTCTGTGGCAGTGACTCTTTTTAAACTAAAGAGGAAGGGAGGAAATCGCTAACCTCTGGGCTTTCTGTCTGCATTTGGGCAAGGACTACTCTGTGTTCACAAGGGCAGGATTTCAGACATCTCCTGGGCCTTTGGTCACTGCAATAAAAAGCTTCAGGAGCCAACCCCTGGTTCTGCGTGGACCCCTCATGGTCTCTCTCTTTTTTTTTTTTTTTTTTTTTTTTTTTTTT